ATTCTTCCGAGTGATGCAAATGATTCCCGTGTCTCCACCACACCATACGCAATGCCAAAGCAAATTTGAAGTCTTAGCAGGTTAATAAACATTAAGAGCATAAAAACATTGACTGGTGCTAGGGATTGACCAGTAAGCATCAGAGTAATAACAGACAGCAGGATTGGTATTGAAGTATACTCCAAGGCAGCCAAACCTGAGAGAATGGCACTTTTCTTACGGATGATGCTTATTTCTCGTCTGAAAGAAACAAAAAGATTTGTTATTATCATTTTTGGACAAAATGAAGGTACTGATCAGAAACTCTGCACTCTGCAGTCTTCACTCTTCACTCAGCACTCATAATTATTGCAGTGGTTGTTCAGATACCTATCGTTTCTTACACCCAAAAACTCAATGAAAACTGAACACATTTTTACAATAAGCAAAGCACAATAAACTGTACATCACCATGATCACAAATGATTCCTAAATATGACCTCCAACCTTCCTCACAGCTACCCTTGCCACCCATAAATGTTAAGTTTGTGAATTATAAACTCTTAGAGTGTTCTCCCAAAATCTTGCATGAGTTATCACGCCAGTAAACCAATACTATCACTTCGTTCACCCAAAGGTATCGGTGCGAAGATGTTCTGCTGTTATCTGAAAAAATTAAATAGGTTTGTAAATTTCCCTTACTTTCGTGTGTGTTTTATTTTTTTTCTGAATTCATCCTCCCACGCATGCGCTTTGATAGCACGTATCCCAGAAACCACTTGATTCGTCAAAGAAATTCGCATATCAGATTCCGCCGCTGAACGCAGACGCAGTGCGGCATTGACAGAAGACATCTCTGCGTAATACGGTAGAAGAAGCCAGAGAAATATCTCTCCCATAAGAGCCTGCCAGCCAATCAGATACACGATTATAAACGTTGCAGGCACAATTTGGAGTATGGCTGAATTTATTGCTAAAATCCATTTAGGTGCTGTCTCCATCCGCTGAACATCATTTGACAGCAGGTCGATCACACGCCCCGCTGAAAACTTTGACAATGAGCTCTTGCTAAGCAGTAAGATCTGAGAATGAAACAATATCAAAACTAGAATTGATCTCTTGAAAAGGAAAACCCATGTTTAGTGCAGAAAGCAATCAGAATTATTAACAACCACTCCTCAAAGTAAAGGTGGCTAGTGGTAGATATATTTTGAGCTGCAAAATAGCGAGGTAAATACCCACCGTTAGCCACCGAAACTGAGGTTAGTAATTGCCCTAGTATATACTAAAAAAGCGAGAAAAAAAATCAAAAGATGATTTTAACTCATTTATTCCTGCAACGATTTTCAGGCGAAAATTCCGCGCAAGTTTCTCAGAGGTGAATAGCAAGGGATATTTGGAGTTTGAGTAGCCAATCAGAGCGCGCCTTCAACGTTATCCACTGTTCTAGTATATACTAAAGATGATTAGTGTATAGCAGGTGGATAGTGCTTTTCGAGTGCGCTTAGTTCGAAAGTGATTACCAAGTTCTACTCATCTCCGAGGAAACGAAGAGACAAACTCGCACTTTTAAAGTTCAATTCCTAATCATTTTCTCATCGCATGCATTAAGGAGCTAATAAGGACCGCCTCTTGAGTTTAGCCTAATTGCTAGAACGCCGACTGTCACCCGCGAGAGCGAGGATTCAAGCTTGATCCAAGCATATTGAACCAACTCTCACGCTCCTAAGACAGAGGCATAACTGGAGGAGTCTTAAGGTGCCAAGAAAAATCTTATTATTTAGGTTTGTGAGAGCGTATGAATTCATAGAAGCTTCAGCTTGGGCATAGACATTTCCGATGCTGATTACTCCTTTCCGCCGTGTTAATACTGACTTGCGGATTCACAGTGTTGCCAAGAAAAGAGAGAATGCAGTCCTAAATAACCTACTTAGACACTGGATTGAAAACTTTCTCTGACTACTCCATAATCTAGGGTTAATAACAAAAGTGTATCGAAAAGCGAAGGAAAAAATGTCGAGAGAATTAACGAAGATTGCGCCCTTTCCCATTACCCAACCCAACCTTACCCTGACTCGTCCCCAATCTTCTTCAAAGCAACGGTGTCGGCAACTAACACAGGCAAGTGCAACAGGATGGAAAAAAGTCAGAGAGCCTTTTTCTCTTTCCCATCACCCCTTTCTTCCCCACGTGAACGCCGTGCACATTATGGAGAAGGCTTGGGACGAGTCAGCTACCCTACTTGTGCTCACCTTCCTGTAAACGAGACCTTGCACTGCGTTACTCAGTCTGATGCCCATTATTTCACCCGCGTAACCGTAATGTTGCATTCCGAGGCTCCCGACTAAAGTGGTTACAGCCATCGCAATTGCTAACACGCATCCATGAAGGATGTTGTTCTGATGTGTTTCAGGTGACATTAACATGAAAATCAGATGTCCAACGAGCAATGGTGAAAGGAGGGAGCTGATTGCGTACAAGACATCACAGCAAACAACGAAAACAGCTTCCCTGAGGGAAATCATCCTCAAGACATTTTTCCACAACTTCGGTCTTTTCTTCTTCCTAATGGAATTAGCTACTTCTCCTTTCCATTTTTTGTCAAGAAGCTCTGTGGCTGACTGTGAGGTGTTCTCGTTTGAGAGTGGTACAAAGTCTCCTTCCTCTAAGGTTCGTTTACTGCCTGTCTTCACGACATCGTTCATCCATTGCAACAAGAGGAAAGAAACAAAACTTACTTTCTCGGCAGAGTCACTGGTGGAGGAGATCTTCTTGTAACCATTTGGTGCCATAGCTCTAAACCTTTAGCCGAAGAACGATGAAACATGATCAATATCATCATCTCTCACTAATAAATCCAAGTCACGCTTCGCATTTTGCTACATCAAATTTGAAAAAATGATGAACTAAATAGCACTTTTAATGTAAATAGAGTGTGAGAGATTGGAATAAACTCCTTCCTCATAAAAGAATCAGATTTTTTTGGCCCACTCTCGTTTCACATCTCGTGATAAAGTCTTCTTTTATTTCACTACCGAACCTTCGACATTGTCAGTCCTAGCGATATACAGGATTCTTGTCACAAATAAACCTAATAATGGCTTAACTCTCCATCGAGTTCATTGTACAGCATCAGGGCGGATAATTCACAAGTTTGGGATGGGATACCTTGTCGGAGACTTAGATATTTCTTCGTCTTAAGGCCAGATAACACATTTCTTTGATTTTTCTAAAGTTGTTATAACCCTTGTGAGGACTTGTAAATTCCTCTATCCTGTATGCTTGACAAAATGTGGAGCACTTTTCAATATTCTACAACTTTATGTCATTTATGTCTCCCCATTCTTTGATCGACCCTTAGTGGTGCCAT